AGCTACCTAGCACACCGTGATCAATGAGGAACACAAAGCTACCTAGCACACTGTGATCAATGAGGAACACAAAGCTACCTAGCACACTGTGATCAATGAGGAACACAAAGCTACCTAGCACACTGTGATCAATGAGGAACACAAAGCTACCTAGCACACTGTTAAATGAATTCCATCTACATCCACTCTCATCGTGAACCATCGATAAGACATCAAGGAAGTTCCAGACCAGAAAGAAGACACGATATTGTTTGTAAATATTTTGTATATAGATCGTTATTTGTAATAACTGTTATTGTAAATTGTATTACTGTTTATATATTAAAATATATTTGTATTAAAAAAGAAACTATATGTATCAATCTTGTTGGCGAATATCATAAATTGGATAAATATCGGCATTTATTCGACTTCTAAATCTAAATTACGATTTAACTTAGTTTTAGGCTATTTGAAAGTGTAATACGTAACAAAAGCAAATCAAATTTGGCATTACTAGTACATCGATGTTTACTTTGTAGAATGCCTAATTTTAACGCACAACAGCAATATGTAATTTTTCGGTAACAAGATTCAGAATCTCTATTTTGTTACTCATCTATTGTATTTGCACATATTATATATTAATGTAAATGGAATTCTATCCGCTTTTTGGGATATACATTGTTTTGTTATATAACGCATGTAAATCTTCAGTATGGACATCCAACTGACTACACTCCATAGATTTAGTCACACAAAAAATGTCTGAAGCAATATGACCCCTCCTATCGGTATTGAGAGCAGAAAGATAGTGAAGCCCAAATTTTTACTGTTAACATCTTTATTCTTATTCAACAGACTCTATAAGACATCAAAATACCCGTCGGGTACTGTTATGTGGGGGGTGCAAGGTGACCATATGTAGAAAATTTATGTACATCGAAAATTAGAACCAATTTTTTTCAATTTGGTAACAACAAAGTGTTGTTAGCGGACTTTTTACTGTTCTGTTTCGTTACAACATAGTGTTGTTAGCGGACGTTTTACTGTTCTGTTTCGTTACAGGAAAGTGTTGTTAGCGGAGGTTTTTTTTATCTTCAGTCTGGTTACAACGGAGGTCTTAATCGTCTGATGAAATTCTTACAGAGATTTTTTTGTGTTTATATATATAAAACAAAATCCATTCAAACAGAACTTTGAGTGAAAGAGTTCGTTTTCTTTATAACAAACATGTCTAGATTGTTCTATTGTTCTATGGATTTCAAACAAACATCTCTTTTCTTACAATTTTGGATCTCAACCCTTTTTTAGAATGTATCCAATTCTGTATGATGATTACATGACTCTTTATAATACCTTTCATCACACTCATGGTCTATAAGACAAAGATCAAGTTGATGAATCATTTTTACATTCATGTAATGCTTTTGTAGTATTAATGCAGGTAAATGCAATTTTTTTATGATTGAATATGTAAATGTCAAATGGTATTTGTAATTTTGCTGTTTGCGTCTAGATGTTAGTCTAATACTTTAATGTTAATATTAACTGACATGACATGAATGAACAAATAAATAAATAAGAGACATAGAAGGATAGATTTTGCGTTGCGTAATAATAAATGTCTTGAGCATCATGTCAGATTTTTTTTTTATTCAAAGGCAGAGGAAATAACTGAGCTAATGAAAGAAAGAATGAAAAGCTAATTAAATATGAGACATAGAAAGGCAGATTTTGCATTTCTTTCTAATAAATGTCTTGAAGCTTATTTCAGATATTCTTCTTTAAAGGCAGATGAAATAATTGAACTAATGAAAGAAGGAATCCGGCAAGGTCGAACTAACCATGCTGTCTCCATGGTAACCTTTAATTCTTTTTGTTTTTGACTGTAGTTTATAATTTAATAACATATGTTCTGTTTCATTTTAGGAATTTAAAAGATATGTAGTTTTCGAACAATGTACAAATATATGTTCCTGCAAAAGTAATGCAATATTATTATGCAATAATAATGAGAGAAACAGTTGTTTCAACTTTGTTACAATTGATACGATTTTTAGCCATCATCATTCGTTATTATCGATCGGCCTCCTCCAGGCCTGTACAACTGACCCAGCATACAGTTTCCAAAAAAACATCTACTCAAGTGTTTACCCGGTTTACAGAATTTATCTTATTTCACCACCATTTATGGTGCCCTCCAGTGACTCAACGGTAAGTCTGCAGACTTTTAACGCTAAAAACGGAGTTTCGATACACATGGTGGCCAAAGCACAGATAGCCCATTGTGCAGCCTTGAACTTAACAAAAAATAACCAACTAGTCGTCCATGGCTGGCATTTATGTAACCCTCAGAAATATTTCTTTGTATCACGAGATTTCTTAGTGTTCGGTAAATGTCAACAAAGTAATACCTCATTAACATCTCTATAATAATTATTAATTTATCTTAGATCAAGGTTGTTATTTCCTTAGTATGGCAGAAATTGTTTAATCTGTTGCTCAGGTGACTTTATTTTTTGCTTCGTTTTTCATTTTCTGTTATCACTGTCACCTGTGAAATTTTATGGTACTGAAGCGGAATTATATAATGTGATTTTTTTTTTTACTTTTATAATTACCAAAATATTATCTTTGTTAACAAAGACTAAAGCAAAAGAAAACACATATCTTATACTAAACTGAATATTCGAATAATTAAATAACTAAAAACTCTTCCTAGGATAAAGTTCTCCTTCCTTTCGCTACAAATATGAGTGATAATGTTTGATTTGAATTTTTTGGAATGTTTATTTGTTGCATGTATAGATAAACTTCTTTGTTTGTTGGTAAGCACAAAGCTACACAATGGGTTATCTGTATTATGCTCATCACGAAGATAAAAAACCAGATTTTAGCGATATTAGTCTTCAGACTTTCCGCTGAGCCACTGGAGGGGGGTGTAGTAAAGCTAGAAATCTTAAGTTCAGTGGTTTGCATATCAAAATCATTTTAATATAAAGTAATGAACCCCGTATAAGAAACTGTTATTTTTCTACAATTCTAATCGACATTTTCAGGAAAAAAAGTATTCGAATTCCTTATTTCGAGAAGGTAAAATAAAAGTTGTTAACCACCAAAAATAATATTCTATCTTTATAACAAAAATTATTGGCCTACTGTTCTGTAGGTGGCACTGACTCCGGGAAGGACAAAAATGGTTTGAAGAACGGTGAGAGTTCTACAGGTTTCTGAAGAAGTGCAAACTGTTCAACTACATGTTTCTGTAAGTATTAAAATATTATTACTGAAAACGAAAAGACATTATATGACAATATGACATTGTAATATCATGCAAAAAGTAACATTTTAAGAATTCAGAAAACAGCTTAAATACGACAAAAAAAAGCTATAAAATAAAAACAACGTTTCGTTAGTGTAAACTATATATTTATACAGAAAGTAATGTTACAACCATAGTCTATGTAAAGTCGCTCTGAAAAGGAATGTGTTAGAAATATATTTTCACATTGCTTGGTATTACGTAGGAAATCTGATCACACCGAACACTGAATACTTTTTGGATGGGTATGTAACAGAACTTTCCGACGTAAAATATTCGTACACTTAGATTGCATAGAGTTGTAGAGATCGAAGAAAAGGATATCACTTGTACTTGACGGAATTGGAATAAAAGGAAAATGTATCAACTTAGGTTACCGGGACCATCTAGAAAGGCACTTGCATAAGTCACAACTGAGCTGTATAAGCAAAGTGCGATCCCATTTAACAAGTGAGAATCCACGAAGATAAGGGTCAGTGTTACAGGTAACAGTGTGCAACAAATTTAAGGATCTGAATGTTGAAAAACGACACACGTCCAGTGTACAAACATTGCTTCCACAACATTATCCTTTTAGCCGTTCCATACTTCAATTTTATCGAGTATGAAAAGGTTATTCAAGCTGTTTCCCACGAAGACATAGAGGTAAAGTCGCCGGATGCGGCGGATTTCTGTCCGATCGAATTGTTGGAACTGGCACTGGAAAACTATAGTTCTCGTACACTAGATGGATTACAGGAAGGAGTGGTGTGCTTTGAACGTGACAGACCTAGAACTTGGCCTTTTGTAAAACTCCAAAATGATTTTAATCTAACGTAATAAGTACTGTAAAGTTTGGCCCTAATTAACTAAAGCCAAAACATACAAAAGTTATAGAGTTGATTTATCGATATAGGCCGTACATAATAAAGGCTTAACTAATGTTAAGCTTAAGACAATAATTTTTTGTAATATTCTAGAAATCCCATACTCAAAGAAGTGCTGTTCCTCTAAAGATAATAATTTGATCGGAAATGTTTTGCGGGTCTCTGCTAGTAAAAATATATTTTACCCTTTTTGACCGCAATAACTATGAAGTAATTTCATGTAAGTTATGATTATGTTATTATTATTACATTTGTAAAACAACAACAAATAAAATATGCTACTAATTATTTGTTTGTTGTTAAGCATAAAACTGCACGATATGCTATTTGTACTGAACAACAAATTTTTACGTTATACGTCTTCAGTCTACAAATAAAATAATTATATAAATAAATTCGGAATTTCTCCTTTATTTACAATAATAGCAACTTTAAAGCTTTCAATCTTCCAACTATGTTTTAACAGAAAATAAAAATATTATTAAAATCCGAGGTTCGATTCTCCACGCTGAACACAGCAGATAGTACAATATGGCTTTGCTCTAAAACAAACAAGAACATAATATTTCATAAGAAAAAAATAATATGAAGGGTTGAAATCTACGTAAGTTTGTTTGTAGTTAAGCACAAAGCTACACAACGGGCTATCTGTTTTCTGCCCACCAAATGTATCGAAAACGGGTTTCTAGTATTGTAAGTCCACAGACATACCGTTGTGCCACTGGGGGGGGGGGGGCAAAATCTATGTAAGCATTACAAGGAAAAATGTAAATTACATAAGAGGTGAACTTGAACTGTTTAAAACTGTGTTCATGTGCATAGTTTTTATTCTGTTTAAGTTTGTGTAATATGTGAAATGAAGTTCTTTATTTTTGGACACCTATAGGGTCTAAAGGTCACTCTCGATGACCACTTTGTTGTGACATACTTATTTCTTATAGTCATACAAATTATTTTATTATATAATTGAAGCATTTCTTTTTTGAACCGGAAATTTAAAAAAAAGAAATATGCATCGTGTATTCTGGTAAACTTATTTTATAACTTATGTAGTTATTGCCAACTTCCTCAGGGAGTGTGTTTTGGTATTCTGATTAAAAATACGCTTTCTTTAAAAAAAATTGCAATAAGTATGAACCTGTTTGATTTTGAAGTATGCATCTTTATTTACAACTAATATCCTAAATGACTTTAAGTGTTCGGATAACACGTGACCTTGCCGCCACAGTTAAAGACAAAAATACACAACCATGCGACTCGAGCACTTTCGAAAGGTGGGCCCTTATTCGTCAGGGGCTCGGGTTATAGGATTTTTGTCATAATTGTTTGTTTAGAATTTCGCGCAAAGCTACACGAGAGCTATCTGCGCTAGCCGTCACTAATTTAGCAGTGTAAGACTAGAGGGAAGGCAGCTAGTCATCATCACCCACCGCAAACTCTTGGGCTACTCTTTTCCCAACGAATAGTGGGATTGACCGTCACTTATAACGCCCCCACGGCTAAAAGGGCGAGCATGTTTGGTGGGACGAGGATTCGAACCCGCGACCCTCAGATTACGAGTCCTCTCTAATGTTTTTATATGATATTTTATTTTGATTACTGATATTTCTCCAATGGATCAATGTTAAGTCTGAAAGTTTATAACCCTAAAAATTGGGTTTCGATACCAGTGGTGGGCAGAGCACAGATAGCCTATTGTGTAGCTTTGGGCTTAACTTCAAACAAACCAACAAAACATTGCTGATTAGAAAAACAAATCTTTGTAGAATCATATAATATAACGAGTCATAATTACTACATTTTATTGTATTATTTTATGTCTTAGTCAACATACATAGTGATACAGTGTATTCTGTATTTTGGTTTTAAATCTATAGAGAGACACTGAAATCCAAAGCTAGGAAAGTCATTGAAGAGGATTTGTTGCCTGCATTTAAGAAGCTTGGAAGTTTTATAGAAACGGTTAGATAATTTTAGAAAATTATTTTTCTTTTTAATTTTTGGTTTAAAAAAGCTGTTGTGTTATGATTCTTAGTTCCCAGTTTCAGGTTTAATGAGAAATAAACAATGTAACACACTGAAGAAGATTTGTTGCCTGCTTTTAAGAAGCTTGGAACTTTTATAGAAACGGTTAGATAATTTTAGAAAATTATTTTTCTTTTTAATTTTTGGTTTAAAAAAGCTGTTGTGTTATGATTCTTAGTTCCCTGTTTCAGATTTAATGAGAAATAAACGATGTAACACACTGTTTACTAATTCGGATGGTTTTACACAGACTATTAGTCATTTAAAAATGTTTAACTCTGATATTTTACCCTCAGTTAAAACATGTATAACTCCTGAGACAGGCTGTTGCCTTTGATAATTCTATGAGAAATATTAAACTTTAGAATATACACCCGTAGTCTCTTCTGTACACTGATTAGTGGAAAGTCTTTTATATATTTTGTTGCATTCATCTTTCAATAAATAATCTTACAGTTACAATATCGTTTTAAAAAAAATATTCGTGCCTTTACTCACAATTATGTCACAACCGCTCTTGTCAACAGCGAACAAAATACGCCAAACTTTCTTGAATAAGGATCATTAATATTTATAACGTATGATAAGTATAAATTAGTTTAATAGTTGTTGTCTTATTATACTAATAATCAAGATGTTACAGATT